GGCTGACGTTTCAGCGACTTCGCTTTCCTCAGAGCATAGACGTATTTTATATCGGAACATTTTTATTATTCCGTGGAAAAAGGTTAAAGTATTAATGAAGATCAAACTTTCAAATAGACACCATATTGAACAGAAAGGCCACTCACCGTGATGTTACGTGCGAGACTGGCCCACACGTAGTTCACGTAGAGTCGAGAGCAAGACACACCCTGGAGTCAAAATATCATTTTGAAATAGGGCGCCAGGTCACGTGTGATAGTGAGGCATTCGTCCTTCCGGTTCATCTTTGGATTTTTGAAATTTATCCAAAACGCCTCAAGAGTTTTGCACGTTGACGTTTCTCATTTCTGCGCTAGGATCCGCATAGTTACTTAAAAATCATCACCGCTGTGCTTTTGTGCCCTGTGTGTACCTAGAGGAGCGTTTAGGCGATTTTTAACTTTTCCATCTAGATGTTCTTTTATGCGGACACAAAGTGGTCTACCCGTTTCCCCAATACATTCCTCGCCGCATGCGTTACACGAGATCAAGTATATTATACCTGAACACATGCAATCCCCGTCTCTCCCGTTGGGACAGATCATACAGTTTTCTGAGCTGCACAAACGATCATAGAGACGGTTTCTAACTCACTGACGGCGCAGGGTATTGGTTGGGATGTCAATAATCGTTGCATAATTTCTAAGACTTTTTCTTAAGCACTTTCTAATGGCTTAAATTATTCCATTTTATTTAATAGTTTAAATTTCATTTAAATTTAAATTTCATGATTTTGAAGTGACTGTGCGGATCCTAGCGCAGAAATCAAAAACATCAACGCGCAAAACTCTTGAGGCGTTTTGGATAAAGTTCAAAAATCCAAAGATGAACCGGAAGGACGAATGCCTCACTAACACGCGTGACCTGGCGCCCTATTTCAAAATGATATTTTGACCCCGGGGTGTGACTTGCTCGCGACCTCACGTGAACTACGTGTGGGATGCCCCAGTCCCACACGTAACATCACGGTGAGTGCCCTTTCTTTTCAATATGGCGTCTATTTGAAAGTTTGATCTTCATTAATACTTTAACCTTTTTCCACCGAATAATAAAAATATTCTGATATAAAACACCTCTATGCTCTGTGGAAGGCGAAGTCGCCGAAACGTCAGCCATCGACCAACGACATCAAAAACAATGACAACAACAACGAAGACCTGTACCAATCTATATAGTTACTTAGATTTTTGGATGGTCCGTCTTTACTTGTTATGCAGGCCACAGTATGATTCCCGTTCTCCGGGGATTTAGTGGTTTAGCCACTGTGGTTCCCTGGATTCCCTAGGACAGCCAGGCCGAAGTCTGCCACAGATCGTCACCACCACAAGCAGTCACAGCCGTTGTAGTTCTGAATGAGATTTGCACCATGCGATTATTTTGATACCACAACAGGTGGATCCTAGTATTGGTTTACTCGTACCTAGGCTTTCTGATGGAAACACCGGATTCCTTCTCAGCTTGCGATTCCCTGCGGGCGATTGAATGCCTCCACTTTACATCACAGCTCGACACCCAGGCACACCTTCTAGTGACGATGAGGCAGTAAACCGTTTGGAGGAGGCAACAATATCTATGATTTTTATCTTTCTACTTCTCTTCAGCAAACACGAGGTGCTATTTTATTTCTTTATTTACGCACAGGCTGACGTTTCGGCGGATTTCGCCTTCATCAGAGCCTGGAAGGGTCAAGTTGACAGCAATCCACTCGGCCAAACACCTCCATAACCAAACAGAGAAAACGCTAAACCGAGATTTCAATCACATTTAGCATAGCTCTGCACACTCACCGCTTTCTATGAGTCTTCCACTGAGTATGTCTCGTGAAGACCGACCGCACACAATTCACATGGAAGCGTAATATGCCCCTCCCATCAGAATAACAGATTTATATACTGTCCAATATCACGCGTGATAACGAGGCATTCCTGCCTACGGTTCATTTTCGGATTCTTGGAATTTATCCAGAATGCCTCTAGAGTTTTGCGCGCTTGTGTTCTCGATTCTTGCGCGAGGATCGTAACCCTTACTTCAAAATCTTCTCCGTTATGTTTCTGCGTGCTATGCGTACCTAGTGGAGTACTTAGCTTACGTTTGCCGACTAGGTGTTCTTTTATACGTACGCAGAGTGGTCTACCCGTTTCGCCAACGTATTCGTCCCCGCACGCTTTACAAGAGATCAGATAGACTGTACCCGAACTCATGCAGTCACCGTCTCTACCATTGGGGCAAATTATGCAATTTTGCGTTGCACATAGACGGTCGTATAGGCGGTTACGAACTAGCTGGCGCCTTAGATTACTCGGCGGTATTTCGATTATCGTTACCGAATTCTCTAGACTGGCCCTTCTTAAACAGCGTTTTATAGCTGCACTTACTTCATTTGAAATGAAGGGCAGTATAAACGGGACCTTGTTGTCGCTAGAGTTATCGTTGGGGTACCTGTGGTTTCCTCTACACCTATCTCGAGCTACGGTTTCGTAGCCATTAAAAATGGCTATTTGCCGCGCCAAGTTCCGGGTCTCCTCTCTTTGTTGTCTTCCTGTGCACACGCTGGTAGCTGTTCGATACATGTTTCTCACACGCGCCCTTTTCGTGTGAGAGAGATGAGAGGAGAGGTAATGAACTGGGATGCTTTTACTACTTGGCTTTCGATACCACTTCGTAATGTAGCCGTTTTTTGATAGGCTAATTTGCACGTTCAGAAATGGAAGCCAGTCCTCTTTTGGTTTCTCTCGGGTGAATTTAATATACTCTGACTGTGTGTTCAACAACTCGAAACATCTGTCGATTTCTTCTTGCGTTGAACAAATGACCAAGCAGTCATCTATATATCTACAGTAGAGTAACGGACCGAGGTCGAGTACTGGCGCTTCCACCTAAGACATGAATGCAATGGCAAGGCTTGGAGCCAGTCGTTGTCCCATTGCCAGCCCTCTCATTTGTGCGTAATATTTCCCGGACCATCTGAAGATTGAGCAGTTCAGGCACTCCTTTAAGAGTGTCATCAACTGCTAAATCGAGAAGCCGTACATGTTTATTGCTCCTTCGTGTTGTATAAGGAGCTCGTTTATGGCTTGCATAGCGGAGTCATTCGACACGTTCGTATAGAGGGCAGTGACGTCGAAGGACTCCACCACGTACGCGCTGTTGGGTCGCGCGTTACGTAGACGATCCAGGAATATTTGGGTGTTCGTTAGATGAGCTGGAATGTGCTTCAACAACTGAGTAAGTATTAGGGTTATTAACCACGTTATTCTATCTGTTGGCCCGTCCACGCAACTAATGATAGGTCTAACCTTAAATAACGATGGATCGGTAGACACGACATCATCGCTGGATACTAACTTATGGGTTTTGATAAGTAAGTACAAGACGGGACATGTTGGAAAGTCAATTTTGAGATGAGAGATAACTGATGGTTTTAACCCAGCCGCTCTTTCCACTTTAACCCATTCCTTGTTTAACTTTCGGTATTGACTTTTAAATTCCTTCTCAGACGACTGACGATAAAGGGAAGCATCTTCAAGGAGCTTTTCCGTTATCTCAATATCTAACTGATGGGGAATTACAACGAACTCTCCACCCTTATCACTAACCGATAGTCTTATGTTTTTTGATCTTATCAGCTCTCGTACCTCCCGCATACCACGTTTTCGTATTTCAGTGAGGTTGGAGCAGTATCTTTTAGCGCGATAGTGATTAAGGACTTTGAAAGTTTCATTCGTAAACATCCGAAATTTAACATCGACTTCATTAATGGGTTCTTGTTGTCTAAAGAACGGTTGAGGAAATGGTGGTACTGGTATTGCCCCCACTTTTTGTTGTTCGCGCCTATTTTGCGCTTCATCCCTAGCTTTTTTGCGGAGTCTATCTTGAAGTTCATGTAAACTACATGCGACCCTACGCAAGGTTACCTTAGAAATGGGTTCAGATGGTGAGAAACTCGGTCCCAATTCTAATAACGAGCGCGCACCGACAGAGAGGGTTATGCCTCCTAGCACGCTCAACCTTGAATTTCTTTGCACGTTATTTATCTTACTGTGAATCGTTTGATCTTCGTTGGCGGTGTTTCTGTATGCTCTTGAAGCCGTGTTATGCGATTTACTCAAAAGGTCTTCGAATTTTCTCCGCAAAGCTACTTTAGCATTAGACCTAATAGAGTTGCAAATCAACACTGATCCACCCACTATTCTCCTCCAGAGGCGGTCCTCCAAATACTGTGCACAATAGTTTTCCTTCTTCTCGCACTTCTTCCACTTAGCGAACATCTGGTTTTGTTTGCTTCGTAGACAGGTGCGTAGTATTCGCAATTCGACGTCCAATACTTGGTGACTGTCCTCTGGTAGACCGCATACGTCGTGTAGTCGTCTTCGTTTGATGAAATTCGGAACGACTTGATGTTTTAGACAGCGGCGGAGAAAGTGTATTGACTGTCGAGCTAAGACGACCTTTTGTCTTAGTGACAGTGCTTCTTTTGCAAGTCGGAAATATCTATGATTTTTGTCTAGTCGAAGCAGCTATAATTTTTTATCGTTTTTCTCACTGCGATTATTAATTTTGCGTCACTCCATCACTCGATACCGCATATAAGGTGGGTCTCAGAATTCGTTCGTCTACTTCATTTTATCGCAGTCGTCACCTGTTAAAGGCCTTTGGACTTCGCGGGTGGTTTCACCTGCTGCTTGGAAATTCTTGTTGCTCCGAGTGCCGTGGAATGTTGTCCGAGCTGATTCTCTGTGGAATTCTAGGTTGGCTCTTCTATTGCAGAATGGCTGCGCGACAACGTTTCCAAGTTTTGTTCACACTGAGCAACGTTCATGGATTGAAGTGAGCCCTTTCCAGGAAATTCTGTTTCCCTTTTGCCTACAGTAAACAAATGGTAGACTTGGCTGGCTCGCTGCAGATCGAACTAAGACCTTGTATGTGATGGCTAGAATAGTGACATCAAATTCCAACTGAAATCATAGAATATTACGATGCAGAACAATCTTTTGTGATAAGGGCGATTTAGAAATATAAGAGATGAACCATGAGTATTTGTTTCATCTCGAAACGTAGTACATCATTAACTAAACACTGTCTGAAAGGGTAAGGATGAGGGAATTTCAATTTCAGCACCGATTTCTGAAGCAGTATTACATTTTCTTAATCAAATCCTTTATTTTAATGTGAACAATAAGCAGAGTACCAGTTGAGACCCAAGCCCTTCCATTTACTAATAAAGAATAAAAAGCGCTTAAAAATTCCAGAAATGCATCTCAATTAAAGAGCCATCATTGGACGACCTCAGAAAAATGTGCATGAGATATAAAAACGTTTTTAGCATTAAAAGGATGAATAAAGAAACATGCTGGTTGCCTAACTTGGCTGAAAAGCACACAATACCTGAAATAAAGTTTTAGAAAAGCAACTCTAGTTCAGTTCAGCTAGTTGAGATACTTTGCCATGGGTGTTGCGCCATAACGGCTGAACGCAGCCTCGTGAATAAAGGAGAATTCACAAAGATTATGAAAAGCGCCGTTAATCTCGTGGAAAAGCAACCAGTAGCCCTGATGAGAAATAAATTGGAGCAGTGATGCTGTCTCAAATGGTGTTCCGTGTATCTCGATCATGATCTGAGTAAAAAGCGTAAAGTGCCAACTTGTGGAAAATTTTAGCGTATATATATTTATATTATATATTATATATATATACGTATATATATATATACAAGAATGGTATAAAATATAACTAAGAAAGAATAAAAGGTACTTCCTCTGATGTTGATCAATACCTGAGGCTCCATTTGCATCATCGTAGGGGTGATAGAATTGAATGGTTGAATTTTTTGGCCCGTGCAATAACCTTTGTCGCCTGTGGATGTACCAACTCAGTTATTTTATATTTCCAGAAAGCTTTGTTACCAACTTGTGAAGCACTGAGAGATGTACGGCTTGGTACTTCTAGATTAAGTATTATGCGAAAGTCCATGTGTACATGCATTATAGGGTTGATTTCACCGCTGCGCAATACGTTTTACAATGACTGACAATGTAATTAACATGTTGAATAAAAAAAACTGGAATAAGGAAATGAACATAAATGTTGTAAAGCAAGAGGATAATAGTGGAAGCCTAGTGTTTGACTAACAAATATTCAAAACGCTTAATTTAAATTATCGACTTGTTTGTAAAATTATACTTGCTACAGAGCTAAAAACAAGGTCTTAGTTAGCCGAGTGATTATCTATTTTGCTATTTCGACGACCTACTTTAATCAATAGAGCTGGCCACATCATAATTTCAATCGGTTTCCTTCCCGTACGTCCTTCCTTCATTTTTCTTCATTTTTGACGTACGCATCAAACACGCTGGTGTCCGTGAAGCATATTCTGTGATCCAGAATTTTTTCCATCTGCGATTGCAGCTAGTTATGTATCTCTACATAGAGTCCACTCCACTTCTTTTTTCGCCCAACCGTCCTATGTCCTTCTTATTTTAAGAATGGCCATCTCTGTTTCCCCATCAATGCACATTCTCCTGGATCTCGGAAATAGAATAGGTCGCGAAAAACAAAGGTAGGCTAAACATGTGTATTTTGGTTGAATTTCAGAGATTCATATTCAAGCACTTTGTGGTCAGTGCGCAGAATTCATAACGTAACTGAAGTAACATCACGGTGAGTAGCCTTTCTGTTCAGTATGGCGTCTATTTGAAGGTTTGATCCTCTTTAATCTTCATTAATACTTTAGTCTTTTTCCACCAAATAATAAAAATATCCTAATATTAAATACGTCCAGACTCTGGGGAAGGCGAAGTCGCCGAAACGTCAGCCATCGACCAACAACATCAAAAACAACGACAACGACAACGAAGATCTGTACCAACCTCGCGTCAGCTTAAGAAGATCAGTTTTTATGTCACCCTTTTCAGAGCATTGAAAGGTCAATATGCATTCTACTCAACCCAACATTTTCGTAACCTCAGAAGATAAGGCTCAACACATTAATTTGATTTTTTATAAGCATCGCTGTTAATTGGTGGAAGAAACTGCACAGAGTAATACATGCCCGAGGAATATGCTTGAGTCAGGTTATAGAATCAGCCTGAGTCATGAGGCGAGGCCAAGCGTGATCACAGGAAAGTCCTTCTTGGGGTTTCTTTTAGGATGTTTGGAGTTCATACAAAATGCTTCAAAAGTTTTTCACACTGATGCTTTGAATTAATCTACAGGGATAGTGACTTTTAGTTTAAAATCTTTTTCCTTGTGTTTTTGTGTCCTATTCGCGCCTAGCGGCGTGTTTGATTTCAATTTAAATATCTTGACTAGATGTTCTTTTAAGCGAACGCACAGTAGTGCACCAGTTTCGCCGACATGTTCGCCCCACACGCTTTTCAAGACATTAGCTACACCTTACCCGAACACATAGAATCAACGTGTCTACTGTCGGAGCATGTTAGGCAATTTTTCGCTATGCAGAGATATTCACAAAGGCGGTTGTGAACTAGCTAGCGTTTTAGAGTGTTCGGTGGTATAACTATCACTTTTACAAATTCTCGAGGCCGGCCCGTCTTAAGCTACGTCTCATGGCTGCACTTATTTCGTTCGAAATAAAGGACAAGATGAAGGTGACCATATTCTCGCTATAATTATCGTTTAGGGGTGTGGTTTTCCTTCCACGCCTATCCCGTGGAGCTACAGTTGGTAGCTATTCGAAATGGCTTTTTTCACGCTAATTTCAAGGATTTTTCATTCTGCTTTCTTCCTGTGTATACGGTGGTGGCTGTCCGAAAAATATTCCTTATAAGCGCCTTGTAGGTGTGTGAGGGGTGAGAGAATAGGTAATACGTGACTGTGTTTTTACTACTTGACTTTACCAAATTTCTTTGTGCGTAATATTTCCCGAACCACCCAAAGATCAAGCAGCTTAGGTACGCCTTTAGGACGGCGAGTGTGGCGCAGTGGTTGGGAGCGCCCTGCAGCACACTTGTGAAATGGATCTTCGCGTCCATGGACCATCAAGCCTTCCATCCCTCCGGGATCGGCAGATTGGTGCCAGACTTGTCTGGAATGATAGCAGCACTGGCTCGATACATCAGTCGGCAACTGCGAGTCATTGTAAAGGCGAAATATGCATTCAGTCACCTCCAACGATAATTAATGAACTCGAATGCATGGCGCATTCGTCAGGGATTGATCAACGCCGAGAGTTTTATCCTTTAGCTTTTTTATTAGTTTTGGAACCTGTCGCATGTCTGATTCTTGGGCTGCCGCAAGGTTGAAAATGAGCTTTCTCACGCAATAGTGGGAAATATTCTCTCAGAGTTTAGCTTACTCAACAGAATTTCTCTTCCACAAATTAGTAAAAATGACCGATAAGGTTCCCCTAGCAAAAGAATTGCGGAGAGCAATTCAAAATTCAAGCAATTCAGTTGGGAGTTAAGAGAACCCCTACGGTCATGATAGCCGTGAGAGTTTTTCCACTGCTCTGAGACCTCTCCACTTCAAGCAACCGTGAGCAACCGTTCTCTTCTTGAGCAGGCACGTGGTTGTCACTAGAGAATTCATTCGCAGTAGCCGACTTTTCGCAATTCTACCTTGCCCCAGAATCTGCAAATGTCAAATTTACATGCAGTATACTCAGATAAAGACTTTCATAAGCCAAGAAAAAAAGCTGGATACCTAAGTTTTATTCGCATAACGAACAACTTGTTTTTAAACATCTACCGTTTTATTTAACATGTATTTACTTCCTGTTCTTTTACCATGGCAGGGTATTCTGCGGTACACAACAGCGAGAGCGCTAAGATATGAGAGAAAGTCGGAGCATTTGGGCCTCGAGCACTTGATTATCCATATCAGGGCTTCACGTGTCACCTACTACACCAACCGATGCACTTGATTTGCCTTTCTGTCGTTTTTTCTACTCCGTTTCGACCATGAACATTGTTTCTCCATTTTGCTCCTTTGATTTTGCTCATTTTTCTGTTTTTAATAAGTCTTCCAGTTGCTGTAGTACACCAGCCGCGTGGAGTCCTAGATCGAAGGAGATTGCACATAGGTCGTTTTTTTGCTCTTTTTGTAATTTAACTTAAGGACGACGGCGATTACCGCCAATAGTATATTCTTAGCTGGGTTTCGGATGAAAACGCGCAGCTTTGTATCAGCTCTGCACACCTTGTTGGGGCATAAATCGCTCTTCTTAAGACGCACTGCAAAACCGAGAAACATATGCTAGCCATGGTGATAATGGAAACCACTTAGGGTCTTTGGTAGAGAAGTTAGAAGCATCCTTCAACCCACTCATATTCTCCAGAGAGGGTCCCGCATACTAGGCTAACCATGCCAACAAATTGATAATATATTTATCTAGAAGGAAAAATTGCTGGCGCTATGGATACATCAGTAGTTCATCGCAAGTTATTTTAGCAATCTAAAACATTATTAATTACAAGTCTCTAAGACCGTAAACTAATAGAACAATTTTCTTCATGGGCAAGGCTCCATGAGATTAATACAAACTTTTAAAGAAGTCGAAGTAGAATCGAAAAATATGAGATCAAAGTAATACTACCTGGGCTGGCTTATATTTATGGAGAAGCAGAGGGATTATATCGAATTCACTTCCTAAAATCACTTTCCATTTATCGACGCTACTTAACTGCATTTCTTCAGTCTCCTTTTCTTTATCTAAAATCGATTTTTTAAGGACTCATAAAGTAAATATTCGCAGTGACTATCGCGGTATTCTTCTGTAAAAGAATAACCATAGCCAAGGATCTCCTTCACATGAGGGTTCCCGACAGTCGGCTAGTCACGAGGCTACGTGGTGCGTTCCCACGTGGCGGATGGGGGATCAATCGCGGACCAGAACGGCCTTTGCTTCCCTGAGACGCAGGTGGATCCACGGGATGAACTCCCTGTTTCTGTTGCGCCGATTTAGCACATACCTTCTGCTCATTTATGAGGCGTATTCATGCACGTGTGTGCGGGTGCGTTCTAGTTTATGCGTGTTGTATTCTACGAGTCAATTCGTCGAAAAGCTTGCAATTATGTGACAGCGAAGTATATGGGAAGCGGTTAGGAGTCGTCTCCGAAGCAGTCTGGATTGCTAAGAACTAAGGTGATCTGTACCTACAATGCATGTTCACTTGCATCCGAGTTCTCGATAGAAGACTTGCTCATGCTAGCAAAAAAGGCTAAGGTGCGATGTCACCGGCCTGGCTGAGACGAGAAGACTCCACCCGTCAACGCCGTCTATAACACCGGAGAAGGACTTTTCCTCGGAATATGCGACAATAGAAGAGTCGGCGGCGTCGGCGTTTCGTCAGTAAAAGCTTGTCTATAAACATTTCAACTGATTCAATCGAAAAACTAACAACCCAAATTTGATGTTCACGATTAAAAAGATGTGAATCAATGCCGGCTTTGAAAATTTTCGTCGTTTACGCGCAGACATTAAAGTATGACGAAGAAGAAGTCGAAGCGTCCTATATGAAATGGGAGGAGTTCTACGGTGAAGACCATACATTCTAGGTAATCATTGGAGATTTTAACACCAAGATTAAACCAAGAAGAACATTACACTGGAACTCACCGATTAGAGGAGGACGAACAGGCTGAGCGGCTCTCTAAGTTTAGCATGACGACCGAAACCATCCTTGGTACCTTGCATTTCCAAAATCCCTACCCTCAACGCTGGGCATGAAAGTCTCCCAATGTAGAGTACCATAACGAAATAGACCATATCATAGTAAATAGAAGGTTTTGCCTACCCGATGTCGCTGGCGTCCCCAAAATTCTACATGGGATCAGACCATCACCTCCGTTCAAGATTTTGTTTTTCGCAGAAAGGAGAAAGAGCCGCTAAATTCAAAAATCGAAGTCTCAGAACCACTATGAACTGGGACTTATTCAATTCACTAGTCGGCTGTTGGAAAGATACCGTTGTCGATAACATCGATGAAAAACACGATCAGCTCATTCAACATCTTCACGTTAGCGCTATGAAAGCTGATAGTACGAAAGTCACCAAGAGATGTCTGTCTTCAGAAACACTCGAGCTGATACGCCAGCGTGAAATCGCACGAGATTCAGGCAACCGCGAATTAACGTCCGAACTTGCAAAAGAATGTGGACAGGCGATAAAAGAAGATCTCAAAGAGAAAAGAGCAGCAGCGATGATCGAACTTTCAGGCGCTGTTAAAAGCATTCATAAAGTCACCGATGTTACGTCAATTACAAGAGCAAGACGATTGTATTCCAACGCCCAGGCGGAACAGTTAGAGCGTCCAGAAAGGCAGCGGAGAAAATCATTTATGAATAACTACTTCTCTGATATCTTTGATAGTAACGTCGACCTTCTGTCACAAAAAATAAAGGAGGATGGGTATGTTGCACGATGGTTTCCCTTCTGAAATCCGACATGCCATTTCGTCGGTGAACAATCAAACATCACCAGGTCCGGACAAGCTAGGGTCGGAACACCTGAAGAACCTCCCGCCGGTCCTCTTGAACACAATGGCTCGGTATTCACACGTTACCTGTCTAAATGCGTGGTGCCTA